TTTTTTTTTGGGGGGGGGGGGGTTGTTTGGGTTTTTTGAGTTCTTTACAACAGAAGAATTGCTCTATCATTGTTCCATAGTCAAAAAATGAGTGAAAGCTAAAGCTCTATTTTTGAGGTGTGCCTTGAGTCTAATCAGGGGTGACTTGAAGCCAACAAGGGGGATCTTGAATCTAAAAATATTAAGAACTACAGCTCTAGAGGGCAGAAGTGTATGCAAATGTCAGCTAATATAAGCTTGAAAGAAATGAGAAATTTTATTGGCTTTAGGGTTACACTATATATTTTCTTAGTAGACTTTTTTTTTCTTGGACTAAATTTTGTGTCTACCCTCCCCCATCTTACAGCTACAGCAGCTTTATACTGCAGATTCAGGAAGGAAGGAACTTATTTCCTTTTGACTTATTGTACAATTTGCTGCATCAACCCTTCCTCTGCATGCTGCAGAAGAACACTGGTTTTGTTTAACTGAAGGAAGATCATACAGAGGTCATAATCATTAAATAGCCTGCCTGTGCAGGACTGAAATCATCCCTCCTCAGTATTATTTGGCACAAATTACTTGAACAGGAAGACTAAGATTTTAGGAGTTCTTAGTTCCTGTTCCTCCATTCAAGCCATGCCTTTTGCAGAGAAAAGGGATTGAAACATCCACATAAGATTAGCCATTTTTATTAAGAGTTTTCACCTCCCTGAACAATAAGTTAAAAAAAGATAAAAAAATTAAATAACAGTTGAGGTTCCAGCCTCCATACAAATATTACAAATAATTAAAAAACAGTTAAAAATAAAATTAACAGGCTTATAATAAATCTCTGGGAAAGAGGTAGCTCTCAAACACCCTTATCTACATGAATGGGGCTAAGTTCTGGCATCTTACATACCTGTAGCATACAGTGGACAGGCACTTGAGGGCAGAACTTGGCCAGAAATGAAAGGAACATATAATAACTTGCCCCTCACCCCAAACACCTGACAACATCTAAACCTATAATCAGTGCACATATGGACATACATTGATATTGGAAGGGTCAGGACAAAACATTTGTGGATTGGGTCTGAAAGCCACTTAGGGTTTTCTATAACAGTTTGGTTTCCTGTACTGTGCTCAGTTAACTGGAATGTCCTTAGAGTTATCTTACCAAGACATGACCACCAGTAATGTTACTGAGCATTCAGCATGTATAAGGTTTACAAGATTGGGCCCACATGCCAAATATCGCTTCATTCTAAGTAGAGATTTGTTTTTTTCTGACCAGAATTTCACTCAATACATGACAGTACAGTGACACAACTCTGTTCTGATACATGAGACCTAGTTCACTGTTTGAATATGGGTTCAGCTGTATTAGGCTGCTAATGCTCATATCCTCATGTTCTTCAGTAGGTTAAACTAAAACAATAGTTGTTTTAGAACAAAGGCACATACAAAATAAACACTTTTTCAAAAAGTTGAAATAAAATGAATAAGTTACTGAGTGATAAAACTTTACAGATACTTGCAAAAGACTAATATTAGTTCTCATATAAAGTAGGGAGGTAACTTACAGTACCGTGCTTGGAAATACTTATTATTTAAAAGTTAGTTTCCTATGGAATGATTTCCAGGTAATCCACAGCAGTGGACATAGCAGTAGTCTATCTGCTTCAGATATGCTGATGTGAAGCATTTTTAAAGCAAACTTGAGAGGAACCCACACAAGTAGTCTCCAAACTAACACTCAGGGTTTCAATGTACTGCATCGATACATGGTTCAGTCCCATTTGTGTGACAGAAGTGCTCAGACTTCCTGCTTTGGATCCAGGCCTCAAGAAAAGATCACTTATTTGGAGAGGACATGGCCTTTGAAATGGATTCCATTCATCTCAGACTCAATCCAAGGAATATACTGGGTGACTCTGGTGTAGACTCCAGGCCTGTTTTCCTGAGCGCAGCCAATTCCCCAGCTGACAATCCCATACAGAGTCATGCTGCCATTGTGTTCACAGACAAGAGGGCCACCGGAATCTCCCTGAAAATGCAAATACAACAGATTGTGTTTGGTTTTCTGAGCATAAAAAACTTTCATTATAGCATCTCTCTCTTACAGGTAAGTTTCTTATATTGTTTAAAATAATGGAACATTTGAATCAGGATTAAATTGTGGGGTTCCTTTACAATGAACTATTTTGCTTATCAAATATAATGTGCAATTAACTCTACAGGAGATGTGCAATTAACTCTATAGGAGATATGCAGCTAAAAGCTGGTTCTGCTCCCTCATTTAAGGTCAGGGAAGGCCCATCCACTTTGTGTGAGGTGCCTGTGCAAAGGCAGTGCACCTCTGTGAACCCATCTCCTACCACATCTCTGCAGAGCTGCGTTTGAGGGAGGCAAAGGGATCTACCAACCACTGTTTCAACAGCTGTAGGAATACAGTAGTAGTTGAAGCTGTCGTAGACTTAAGGCTGCAATCATAGCCATTGAAAAGTGCAGCTGCTCCCTTCTTCCACATACTGGACAGAGGTGTAGGGGAAAGTTTTGCTTTCCCTGCTCCATTCAAAATCTTTTTTGAGCCATGTCTGGCTATTGCAGGGCATACTTAATCAATTACAGAGATATCGTGTTTACATGAAGGAACACCACAATTTCTGGCTCTAAAAATGCATGACTTAGGGTTTTAGTAGTGTATTCTGCAAGGACTCTCTCTCAGAAGTAGTTTGAAAAAAAATATATAACCACTCTTACCTTGCAGGCATCGACTTTCCAGTGAATATCCCCAGCACAGACCATGTTTCTGGTAATTTTATAGTCTTTGTAGTATTTATCCCGGCACAGAGATTGTGATAGTAAGTTCACATTGGCTGACTTCAGTATTTGAGAGTAGAAATAGTCAACTGCAAACAACAGGAACTAGTTGAGACAGGCCTTTTCCAAAAATTCTAATGCCATTTTTTGTGCAGATGTACTACACAAGACATATTCCTATTCTGTCTATTTTTCTGTACATAAACTGTAGTTGTTCATAGCCTAGGATTTTCAAAGTAACTCATGGCAATAGGCTCCAGGTGAAGTAACCCCTTTAAAAATGCCAGCCATGGCTCTTTATAGTCTCCTTCAATTTCCATGTTTAGATTTTATGATGCTCTTTATTTCTGTTAAGAATTCTATTTCAGCATTCTGCCAAGTATGAAGTGCCCAACATCAACATCATGATGGGAGAGATGAAAATTTATCTTGGTATATGGCAGTAGGGAGTAATACCACACAGCGTATGGGTTACTGCAGTGGCAGAGTGTAAGGAACACTGTTACTTCTGAATTTTGGGATCAAGATAGATTACGTAGAGGAAATATATAGTTCTATCTATATTAACAATATTAAGAGACTGTGTTTCCACTATATCATGCTCAAACTGTGTGCCAGCTTGCCCTGCTCTTTTCTCAAGTGATTAAAAAAATCCCCTAACCAAGGTTTTTTATTTGTATTTAAAAAGAAAAAGTGACAGTGACACCTGGCCTTTTATATAGCACAGAGTAATACTTGGTCCTTTATGCACCAAACCTAAAGTAAGAGGTACAACAGATTCCCAAGTCTGATTAGTCTCATAGCCCTCATTCCATGAATACAAGTTTGAGAAGTGGAGCAATTTACTTACAGTTATCTTGTTTCCCATAGCCAGAAACTTCACATTGGGTGTTGTCCCTTAGTTCCAGGTTTTCAGGTGGCAAACAAACAATTTTGACATATTCAGATTCAACTGCACATTGCCCAGATGCTGACTGTATTTTCATCAAAGCTAAACAAACAAAATCAGAGGGTGCACTTAATGTTGTATAGGAAATATTCATAATAAATGCTATACTTATACACAAATTCTATCATACAATCATAGGGCCTGAGTCATAGCTGGGATATTTTTTGGTCCCAACTCCATCTTTGTCAAGTTGAAACTGGTAAGCTTTCCAGCCTTCACTTTCAATTACCTGCATGATAATGAATGACAAAACTCTGAGAAATAGACTTCTCATGGATGGAAATGAGACCCTACTAGCCAGGTGAATCTTTTCTCAATTGTTCTTTGACAGGATACCAGGGTTAGCAATGTGTGTGTAACACATTAAACCACACACAGCAACTGAGTCACACCCTGACTTAAGCACCTGTTATTAAAACTTCAACTTTAAGCCTGGATCAGTGAAAAACAGAATGTGCCTTTTTTTTTTCCTGAAGGGGGCCAGGGTGTGTGGAACTGGGTAGCAAGTGCAAAACAACTAAATCTGTTCTGATAAAATGCTGGCTGGTACAAGAGGGATTTCTTGCCTGATATAGACCTAATTCTCTCTCTCCTTACTTTAACTTAAACAGCTTCTTTCTCCTTATGTGACAATAATACATTAGACTCCAGTTTTGAGAGATGTGTTTTAGATGGCACTTACCAATATCATTCTCATAACCGCCTGACTCATCTGAAAATCGTGGATGAGTGATTATTCTTTTCACCTGAAACTTCTGTTCTTTTTTATCAGTGGAATTCAGCTGGGATTTTCCAAGAATAACTGTATATTCTGATGGGTTTATCCTGGATGGAAGATAAAGAAGAAGACATAAAGATATTCGGCTTCTGAAAACATGAGCAAGGTTTGTTAAATTTTATTCATAATGTGGGTCAAGCCTTAGTTATGTGAACATTTGTCTTCCTATTCCTGTTTCATAACATGCATATGGTTACTTCTCTAATTGCTTATATGGTATAGCAGATTAGGTCACTGTGAAAGTCTGAGCCTAAGTATTTCCTATGGTAGGGGTGTCCAAACTCTGGCTCACTTGCCACAAGACTAGGGGCCTGAGCAGAAAACTCAGCAGCAGGTAGGGCAAGAAACAGATGGCACAGGAGCACATTGGGCAAGGAGTACAGGGCAGGAAGCAGAGCAGCAGATTAGGAAGGGGAAGAGGATCCGAGTGGCACTCAGGAAAGGTGTGGTTAATTTATGGCACACCTGCAAAAAAAGTTGTCCCCCTCTGTTCTAAAGAGTGGAGATTCCCAATTCTCCATTTGAAAAGAATGAGTATTCAGATCCCCACACATACTTTGATAAAACCCCATCCTCAATCTATTTCTAACTAGCTCTCTTGTTTTTTTCTAAAATCTTTAGCCTCTTCTTGGTAATGAGCCCTCTTGAAGCACCTTAAATCCCAGGGGAACTGACACTATGTTATCAGCCAGCTTCCCATGAAGTATTCTGTGAAGATGGTAGATGACAGGCAAGTTGAAAACAAGTTTTGAGAAGAGCTGAGCCACAAAAAATCCTGGCTTAAAGTTATTGTAAATTTCCACCTGAATTTGTTTTTTTTAAGTTATAACCTGGTAGGTCCACTCTGTCACACCGTTCCTATTTTATTATGACATGGAAGATTTAGGCTTTCTGTGGCTTAATCTTAATATATGTCCTCTTGGCATTGCTTAAAAGAGCAAATTTGTTGACAGTTACTGCTGTGTTATGTTTAAGTAAATGGCCATTGCCCTAAGAGGTCAAGCTAAGAAAAGTGGAAATAGCAAAAGGAGCATTAATGCTGACACTTACTCTTTTTGGAAGCAGTGTGCTGCAGTAAGCAACCAGCAAGGGTGGATGAGACTGCCACCACACACAAACTGATTCTCAGCTGCTTTCTTTGAATAATGATAGATGGTACCTATCCAAGGCTGAGACTCTATCTTTGCAGTTGTCCCGCTAACGATTTTGTAGTACTTGGTCTGTCTCCTTTGGCCACATGTAGGCCCTGTAAAATAAAGGAAAATCTTTTTTTCAAATGCACTTATAGTATGGCAGCCAATCACCTGTCCACGTGCTGAAAATAAAAAATAGTGAGTCATGAAAATGTCAAGATGGTGTTCACACTTATACCATCCAGCCCTTATGAAGATGTTAATTTTAAGCGGCACATGTTATATGGTGTTTCTGCCTTTAGTTTATCAACAGAAGATATTTGAGCATAGAGGGCACCTATACATGTGCAGCATGGCTGCTCTGACACACAGTAATTACAGTGCTTCAAAACAGACTTGATTAATTGAGTCTGCTAGAGTATAGTAATTACTGTGCTCCAGCAGACTCCAGCATCACATGTATCAGCATCCTGCACTGAAAAATGGCAGCAGAGGTGCTTTAACTAAACCTTGTTCAACAAGCTTTAGATAAAGCGCCCCCACTGCCATTTCAGTGCAGGGATGCTGATACATGTGATGTTCCAGGCTCTTTAAAGTCCCCTTCCTTCTCCCCACCCCCTGGGGCGCTCATGTATAAATCCCCTAAGAGTGTAACAACAGAATTCGGTCCTCACACATGCTAAAACTCTCCAGTTTGAAGTTCCACACTTCCTGTCAAAAGTACATGTATAAAGTAAACCAGAGTACGATTAAAGTAAGTGCTAGCTTACCTGTGTCACTGTGACACATTTGTATATTACAAACGTGTGGCACGATCTGGAACCCTTTCTTAACATAACACCACGGTTTAGATCTTCCATCTGGATTTCTGGAGAATGAGAAAGAAAAATCATTTGTTCACTATGACTACTAAATACTAATGACTCAATAAAAGCCTAACATCCCTCAACAAGAATTATCAGAGCTCTTCTATTGAAAAAATATATTAAAGGAGTTACTTCACAGAAGGATAATAGTAAATGTCTGATAACAAAAACTAATAGCTCATTAATTTTATTAATTCATAGGATCATAGGAAAGTAGGGCTGGAAGGACTTCACAATGTCAACTAATCCAGCCCCCTACTCAAGGCAGGATCATCCCTGACTAAAACCTCCCAGCCAAGTGTCTGCCTAACCTGCTCTTGAAAACTTCCAACAATGGAGATTCCATTTTTTCTATGTAGCCTGTTCCAATGCTTAACTCCCTTATAGGCAGAAAATCTCTCCTAATTGCCAACCTAAATTTCCCCTGCTAAATCTTGAGGCCATTGCTTCTACTCTTGACCCTTATAGTCATGGAGAAAAGCCCATCTCCACCTTCTCTGTAATAGTTGCATTGGTTCTTCTCTTTAAAGGGCCACTTCTGCAAAATGCCAAGAGTCCCCAAATACCATTAATTTCAGTGGAAGATCTGGAGACTAGGTAGTTTGCACAATTTACCCAAATATTTGCAATCCAATTTTAGCAAGTAGCTCTTTGAAGCTCCTGGCATTTCACTGAATATATACCATTATTACAGGAACTTTGGGGCTGAAGAGTGTGTGTGATAGCACTTAGTAACTGTTTCATTATTGTACCTGCAGTAGTTGTGTTTGCCCAGTCCAAGCTGCAGAGCATCCCTCATGTTTGCATTGTAGGGTCTCCTAAGTAATGAGGGAGAGTCCCATGACAAACATTCTTTGTTGTACTCGCACTCAGACACCGTTCCTCTATAGTCTTGACCATTTTCATTAAAACATCGCGTTTCAGAGTCTGAAATATGAATATAAAGTTGGCAGCCTGTTTGGGATTGTTAACAGTAAAAAATAAGCCATGTAGCCCTTCCAATAAGAAAAAGATTGATTGGTCTAAAATGTCAGATGGTTGCAACATTCTGCATACACAATTCTGCATATGTGTGTGCATTCATTATAATTTTTCACTAAGGTCTAGGGGTTTTGGTATCAAATATATACCTAATTTTCAGGCTTATATTACCCTTTATTTAAGAATCTCAGCCTACTTCACCTAGCTAACAAAGTCTCCCAAAACCTCTGGAGAAACATTCCAAACAAACAGGCTAAGTAAAGACAGTCAAAAATCTTGAGGCTGAATCAATTCAGTCTTCACAGGTTAGTCTAAGTTATATAGATTGGACTGATAAAGAAGTGAACAGACATTCACTTTTGATTCTGGAAATGCAGCCACATGCCTGCAGTGGCCCAGGCTGGAGGCCGGGGTGGGGGAAGGGGGACACTAAAGCAGGCCTCCCTGCTCGGCTGCTGCAGACAGCTTTGGCCAAGGCTAGCTCACCTACCTTGTCGGTGGTGGGGTGGTACAAAGTATTCTGGGATGCTGGGGGACTGTGAGTTAACTTGAATCTAGAGTGGATCTGGGACAGAAGTTCAATAAACCAATTTAATCTAAATCAGTTAAGTCTGATGCTACATATGCCCAGGTTTATCTTAAACGAGTTTCAGCCATTTTGAAAGTGAACTTCTGTTGTGCTACAGATTTGAACCTGTTTCAGATCACTTGTATTAATTTATGTGTAGTTTCTGTTCCTAGCTACAGAGTGTATCTTACAAAGTGGGAAACTGAATTGGAGAGGTCATGACCTTCAAGAAGTAGGGAAAAGAACCAGAAGTGCTAACTACCTTTATTCTAATACAGTGATTCTCAGCCTTTTTGGACTTGAGGCATCCCTCAAATGTACTCAATGGTTGACAGTCAGTGTTCTGATGTTTTGGCATTGCTTCTTTCTCCTGTGTATTAGTAATAGATACCAATCTAGAGGCCTTCTTTATTGGTACACAAAAAAGAGGTAATAACTTGTAAATTCAGAAAATGAGTGTTAGGAAGGAGGAGGAATCTAGACTGGGATAGGAACTATTCCACCTTACCTATTTCACAGTGATTCCCTCTATATCCATTTGGACATGAGCAACGGCTAATCCTGGAAAAGAGTGTATAGGAAATGCAAGTTCCTCCATTCAGACAATTACAATCTGTTAACAGAAGACATCAATAAGCAAGGTTACAATTTGTCAATAGTTCCAAAATGTGTAGTTGAAGGCTGCACATTTAGTATATAAATATCCAAAAGGAATGTGTTCTGTCTTGTGCTATGTGCACTTACTGTGCAACAACTAGTTTTAGGCTATAAAAGTAGAAGTGGCAAGTATTTACCTTTGTGTCTCAATTTGTGTTTGCTGGGTAAGTCGTACAATTTCTGTCTATTCCAAACCTAAAGGGAGAAAAAAATAGAAGTTTTTTTTTGGTTATGGAATATTTTCTTTTAAACTGTTGTATTATTTATGTCTGTGTCTCTGAAGCATATGCATGTAGACCTATTCCTGGATCTACACCTGCAGTCTTGAGCAGCACACATGCAGCTGATTGATAAGCACACCTGAATTTCAATTCATTGACTCAACATTATAATTGCAGTTCTTCTTGGAAAGCCTTAAGCAGTCCCACAAGCCAAACCCAAATGGCTACCTAAGGCAGGGGTTGGCAGTGTTTTTGGGCAGAGTGCCAAAAACACCCACAGCCTTGACTTGTAAGATGTTGGAGTGCCAGGATCACATGGCGGGGGAGCCAGGAGGGCCCCAATCTTTGTTTCTGCAGTTCAGCTCTGGCCCCTTCCCTGCCATCTGCACCAAAGAACATGTGCCAAGTAAAATGTCTGTGTGTGGTACTCTGGCTCCCATGCTGGGGGTTGCCTACCCCTGAACTAGGGCATTCGGGGGGAGACTATATTACTGCCCTCTGATAAATCTCAGTGACCTCCTAGAAACTGAGGTTCTGTGACTGGATTAGTATTAAGAAAAACAAAGTAAGAGGAAAAAATCCTGTCTGCACCTTTCTAATAACTATTTAAGGTCTCTCCGGAAGACCACTTTAGTGTTTCCTTTTCACCATAAGTAGAAGAAAGGTAGATGGAAATAACAAACAAGTTCAAAATACAGTCATGCCATCAGATAAAGCCAGTTGTTTGCAAGCATTAGAAAGTAGAATTCTAATAATAGGCCAAGTTCAGAGATGAAAGGAGAAGTTATTGGTTATGGTCAATAAAGGAGGTAAACAATAGCTGCTATGAGTGGGTGGCCCTGCATATTTCAAAACTTACAGAGTCTAGTCCTGTGACAAGCATGCCCAGCATTACTGAGATGATGGCAAGTGACTTCATGGTTTTGGGTAAGGTCTGGTTTAGTTCCTCTTCTCTTATCTGCGGTTTTTGGTGGGGAGTTTGTTTCTGAAAATAAAAATGGAGCTTAGAAGCGTGTTGTGGCTTGGAGGGCCAGGTTACTTTCTTTATTTTGTCTTTATTCATGTGCTTGACTTCATCACAAATCATGGTACTATTAATTAGAAGAAGAAGTAAAGGCAGTGACTTTGTACAACTATTTGCCCTTCATTTTTACAGGCCAAAAGAGTGCTTATTGTTTTTTACTTTAAAACATAGCTACCGTGTCAATTTGAATTTTTGCCTAGCCCCTTTCCTGAAGCTGAAAAGTTTCTCCGTTTTGCAGTTGGATATAGATATGGAAGCTGAGCAAGTCTACAGTGAGCAACTCTTGTAGAAAAAACACTTGTACAGGCAATTCAATATATAGGTGACTCCAAAAAAAGGACACGTTCTGATTTCACTTTCCACAGACTTGCAAAAAAACTAGAAAGGGGGCATAAAGAATTTCATTGCAAAATGTACCTTGAAACATCTTGCTTTGGTCAATTCAGGTATCAAAATTAATATTATTTTGCATCCTCTTTTCAAGCATTGGTGCAAAGTAATATTACTGATTTTTGTAACTTCAATTTAAAAAGCAGAGGGTAGAATGGAGAGCTCCCTTGTTATTCTACTATCACGCCGATGTAGAGTTGTAAGGAATGTGATGACAAGGTTACTTGGTTGCAGTTCAGGTTTGTTATCTATTTTGAAGGGATGGTAGTAGTTCATGATAAGACTTTTCAAAAGTGCCCATCAACCATGGGAGCAGGGCAGAGTTTCATAAGAGCTCATGTCTTATTTAAGTACTTACATTGCCCTGGATATGAACTGTGGATGCTGAGCACAGGGAAAAAAAATGACCACTTCATTAAGGTACCATCTAAATCTGACGTTTGCTTTTTCTCCATTTATTTGGAGTTTTGAAAGCTAGTAAGTAAAAAGACTTTGGACATATTCTGTCCTGGTTTTGCAGATGCAATTGCCTCTGTCAGCCAGAAGGACTGTGCGCATGTAGCAAAGGCCAGCTTGCCTGATGTCAATGGCAATCTGCCGATAATAGACTGCTTTTCCAAGCCAATTTTGAATTGTTTTTCAAAGACAAAGAAGTAACTGGTTTTCATGTTTCTAAAGCAAGTCAGTTCAATTAAGTGGAATGTAAATTTTTTCCTGCAACAAAAATTGTATTCCTGGAGTAACAAAAACAAGGGATAAATGTCCAAAAGGGATGTCTAAATGCTGAAAGAACCTAAACTATAAGCAGTGCTGGTTAAACAGTGCTAGAAAACAACATGTGTCTCAGATATATAGATATATGCATTTCTCAAATTCATTTAGATTGAAAATGGTTTAGCAGAGCAATAAATCTGCAATCTGGATTTGTAGTCTGCAGTTTTTAACACATTAAAACAACCGGTCATTTATTTGCAAACAGAATTTAGGAAATCCAATTCTTCAACACCACTAATAACACAACGTTATAGGCTGTGGGAGGTTGCATTATACAATGTTTGGAATGTAAACCTAGCAATCAAAATCAGCTTTGCAAAAATGCAGCTTTTCCTATAGGCTTTTGAAAAAGACATCAATTTTACAATGCCACGAGGACAGTGTGTGCCTGTAAAATACAACTGGATTTTAAAGGTATGGTACTTACCAGTTCACTAACAATGCTGCAGGCTTGCCGTGTTCTGACCTGACAGTGCCAAAGGCTTGCAGTGCTCTGTGCTGTTACAGCAGCAGCCTTAGAGCTGGAGACTCTTTAGCAATCCAAGCTCACCACAGATTCCCACTGTTCTGCAGAGGAAGCACATCACTATTTAAACCCTTAGCCTGAATTGTGATTGGTTGGCTCTTGTCAGTCAAGCATTCCTTTTTGATGACCACAGCAGTGTAGGTTTATATTGCCTTAATCTTTTCACCACTAGGAGAATTAAGAAAAGTGCATGTTTAACTCTCTGCAAACAGAAACCTCTGAATTACTCAGGAGGGGAATTCTAAATGCTACTTACTATAGTTTCAGTGGTGTGGGGGAGAAGCAAATAATTCATAATATAAGAGGTAAAATTCACCATATTCATAGTTTGGTCTTCATGAGTTCCTTATCTTTATGTGTCTGGTGACAGTCAATAAAAATCTTACTGGAATGGAGAAGAACACCGAGGGGTTAAAACAGTATGTAACAGCATTAATCAAGCAGTTACATGTTTCTATAAACCCTACCATAGTACAGGAACCTAAAATTCTTTACCATCTGTGGGTGCCCTCTTGTGGACCAGAGCAAAATTTAACCCCATACATTAAGGAAAATCATTTCTTCTGGTGAAATACTGACATTGTTAGGGGACATCAGGCATGTTTTATGTGCCAAGAGCACTGAACGAGTTTTTAGAACATAGGTGAAGAGTACCATCTCTAACTGAAACTCAGGAAGGTAAAATGTGGGTTAACAAAATGCATTACTTGAGCTGAAATGGTTAGATCATAGAATTCAGGGAATGGAAATAATTTTTTATCCTATCCAAAGCTATTTGCCATTTCCTATAGAGTAATACATTGTCCAGAGAAATATTGCATAGCCTCTTATTCACTGCTGAAGTACTCCACCTTCTGCCTGATTTCAGACTAACACAGCTAACTACCTCTTTAACAGGTGAAAACATGGGCATGTCCTGAGGGGTTGATCTATATATGAACCAAAGAGTTCTGTGGATATGATAGGTAGCCTACCAGCATACAAAGAGTTCCTTTTTGATGTGAAGATCCTTTGATCCTCTTGTCATGTGAAGATCCATCCTTGAAAATGGTTTGGGGGTGTCACTAACACAGGAGTACAAGAACAGCTGATGAAATGTCCCTTACAGGACTGGGTCTGGAGCATCTGTTTTGTGGGATAATGAATGGCAGCATCTGTGTGAAGAAGCAATGACAGAGAGCAAAATAGAGTTCAAACAAACTCTCTGCTTTGGCTTCCGTAACAAATACTTGCCTTGTTAGAGGTTCATGTAGCGGTCAAACATGCTCTCAGTTCTTTATCCATCTCTGGAAGCTAGTATTGGGACAGTTGCTTTGATTTTGCAAGCAAGTAGAGTTTATGGTTACTGAATAGAAAGAAATAAATTGAATAGATTAATTTGGAGACTCAAAAATAGAAAACCAACCAGTACTTTCTAAATTTCAGTAAAACCACTTCTATCTCTTGTCATGGTGATAAAAGATACCAATGTAAAGGAGAATACTTAGTCCATCTTGATAATACAGAGCTGTTACCAAAAGTAGAAAATGGGCCAAACTGTACCAAGATATAATAGTTATGCAGCCTGTTGGCTTCAGTTGAATTATCTGTTGTATAAATTATGGAAACATTTACTTTAAATTTTAGAGAAAATTAAGAATACTGATTCACTTGCATATTTTTCATATAACATTTAGAACAGTTGGGGAAAAGTAGGATAAAGTAGAAATCCCTTCTCTTCCATTCCCTGTAGAACTTAAAATGCCTTGTTTTAAGATGTTTTAGCAGTCCTTGAGCTAAATGTTTCCCTAATGTAAAAGCCCTCTGGCCAGTGAAGTGATAAAAATTGATTCCTCCTTAATAGGACACACCTACATGTCTTGAACTACTAATAACCATAGAATTACATTTAAACTACATAACCTTAAAACACATGCTGTTGTGGATGAAGAGAAGACTTAGACCTCTAATCCAATCCATCTTCCTTGTCTGATAAAAGCTCAATGCTATTGTAATATTAGAAAAGGAAAATTAAATGTAGTTAGAATTACTTCTGAAATGGGCTTAATTTACTATAGGGTGTTCTTAAACATATTTTATCATAAATTTACTTGTCTATCCTACCTCATCTCCCTTAGTCTAATAGAATTCCAATATTCTCACTGATATAGTGTTGGTTCATCCCTAGTTACCAATATAGTCTTAGGGAAGTCACTGTCGATGTGATTTAATGGGCCTGAAGTTGTGCAACAGATAGATGGAGCTCCAGCTCTGTTTCTAGAGATAGGAGAAGATGTATTTTGTAGCACTATGCAAATATCTGTTCCCACTCCAGCCTTTGAATTCAAACTTGTTCAAAGAAGAGGCCTGAATTCTGTTGAAAATGTCTTCAAAATTTTCTTTTTTTTTAGTTGAAAGGAGGGGAAAGAAGGCAACAGGAGTGGTAAAGTCAACTTGGAGCAGTACTAAGACTTAAGCTTGGGACTAGGTGGATGACAACAGTGCCATGAGTTAACAGGAATCCAGATTAAATCTGGCCAGAGGATATTGTGCTTAGTCTTGCTCACTTGTTTGATATATTCACAGACATTAAGATAGAACCAAGGTTGCTGTTGCCCCCTAGAACCCAAAGGCAGAACAATCCAAAGAGCCGAAAGAGGATTCAAAGGGATGGAGGGAGGATGCATGGGAGTGACTGGCTTTTTTGGGGTGAGGAGGGAGCAGGTTAGGTCACTGTGTGATTCACAGAGGGGAGTGGAGAAGGGAAGTGAGCAGACCCTGAACTGGTGGGCCCTACCCAAGCCAGACAGCTCCACTTTCTTCTCCTTCAGCCCTATGAAAGAACGTACCAGACTCCACCTGCTTCCCAGACCTTCTTTATGGGAAAACAAGGGTCAGCTTATGGCAACTAGGTTTCCTCTCTGATTCTTACATCTGCCTGAGGAACAACAGTAGAGAGCACCTCTCTGGGGGCAGAACAGGCTTAGGTAGGGAACAAGCCTCCCTACACAAAGTCTTTGTTCCTTATCATCTCATGAGATGGTCAGGTTAGTGATCCTCTCCCCAGATCTCTGTGGAAGATATGCAGAGTTTTCACATCTCCCCTAGTCATCTCTCCCTCCAAACAGTATGGTCTGCACTTCTTATGCAAGCATAGAGGCCACATGGTGGAAAGGCCTGTCCCTCTTTAACTTCTTTCTAGGATGGGTAATTTTCAACTGCCATGACACTCTGCCAGAGTTGCTGTCCAACCACAGTCCCACTTGATCTCTTTGGGCCAATTTTTTTGTTGGAATATTGAGAATGAGTGTACGTCTACTGCAAACCACAGCGTGGTGAAAAACTATCCAAGCAAGCTCAGATACTAGAAGCACTGTACTTGCCTGCTTCCTGAGATGCTTCTGAGCAGTGTAAATTAGCTTTGTGCTGCCATGACTAGACTGCTTCTGTCCGAGCTAACTTATTTATAATTAACTCCATCTCTACAGTACATTACAGTCTGCACTGTAGATAATGTTAAAGCTCTATCTGAAATAACCCTTTGCACCTATTATATCCCGTCATGGCTGATCTTTCACGTGGTAGAAATCTTACTGCATCCTATTATATAAAGACTGTAACAGGAAATAGAAATAAGGGAGGCTTTCATAACCCAGAATCTAAATGGCTTAGAATGAATAGTGAGTTAATGAAAGGCTTGCCAAAGAGACTGTGGAACGGCTAACTCAGCACTGAACTTTGACTAGAAATGAACTTTGACTCAAACTTGAAGAAAGAAGCTAAAGCTGAGTTATGTTCCAAAACTGTATGATTGGTATCGGTGACTTGTGATCAAGTCTTACTCTTTGACCTTTTACTTCCTGTGTGCTGCATTCTTCATTACATAAAGAATGACACTTCTTTATCATTTGTCCAATGTGGCTACAGTTTAATTGTAGACTTTGATCAAAGTTTGGCAAAAGTGTGTACAGAGAGGAGGGTAAGGGACATCTGAAGAAAGCATGGGGGCTACTGAAACTGTCAGTGGTGATTCCATAGATGGCATGTTACTCCATAGTAGGATTCTAGGGTCCTGGTTTATATAATGTAAGTTCCTAAATTAAGATGCAGTGTCTGCTGTTTGAGCAGATACTCTGATCTCAAACAGAGCAGGCTGGTCCAGGGAAGAGAAAAAATGTAAATGCTTTTTTGTATTGTTGCTCCATATGGCCTGACCCTGCAAATCCCTTGCATTACTATTGCATCCTTTAACAATTCTTGTGGACATCAATGGGAGATTTAGCCTTCTAAGGCTTTCAGGATCTGAGCCACAGCATCACTTAGCTTTCAGCCACTGTTAAAAGAATCAGCCACATTTTGTAGTTCAGGTATCTTGAGCATGGGTGACTGGTACCACCTTAGTCCAGGGTGGGGCATGTGCCCCTCCCAGTGACCAGTCAACGACTGGGGGGCAGGATGTCCCCCCATGGCCAATCTCACCGCAGCACTCCCACTCTCCGGCTGGCACTCATGGGGGGGACACCAGCACTCCCACCTGGCCCCTGCCCATTGCCTAAGCAGCAGGTAAGCACAGCCTGTCAGGGGATGCACCAACGTTCTCAGGGGGTGCACATGCACACCCGTGCACCCCCTATGTGTCGCCACTGATCTTGAGTATATTTGACTAGTCTGTCAACCTAAGCAAACTTAGAAGACAGAACATTCCAGCTGGGTGAGAACACTGATCTTTTTAAAGAAGTGTAGGCTCAGTTATTTAGGATTGTGGGATTTAGAGAAATTGTAAAGATCACAGTTGATTTTCATTCTGATGTTGTTTGTGGTTTGTTCAGGAAGAAATAAAATGTGTCCACTATACATTTTCTTATGACCGCTAGTTGACACCAAAAATAGATTTCTCAGATAGTTTAATTAACAATTTAAACACAACTACAAATCCCTCCACAGGTTTCCTTGGACATACAGTTTTACCCTAACTAGTGCCTCTTATGAATATGATCTTAATATTCCTTGTCTGGAATCATAGACTGGTTCAGCAAGAAAGTTTGAGACATTT